AAAAACACTTTATAAAGATTCTGGACATGAAAGATGGGTGTCCAGAGTGGTATATTTCTGAGAAGCAGAGTAATTAAGTTAAATAAACCTTTGTAGAAAGTGGTTTTGACCTAGAGTGGGAAAGAAGAGATTTTATATTTGAAAAAAATCCCTAGATGCCTGTAGTGGTGAGAATGAAATCTTAATAAACATGAGTGCAAAATGCAGTCCTAAAGCCATATTCCTGTTTAGGTGGCAGTCACTTGTATTCTGCAAATAGCTGGTTTTCAAAATCCTTGCACCCTTCAAAGTATAATAATGAGAACAGCAGCAGAAGACCTCAGCATTGTCAAAGCAATAGAGTAAAAGAATGACAAAAGATGAGTGTTGTTTCTACTAATTTTTAATCCCATGTTGTTTACTTCTGTATTTCTTTGTGATCTGCTGGATCATAAGGGTTTATTCTTTCTTGACTCTTTTTGTCTCACTCTAGTTTCTTCTGTGTGTAAAAGATCTTGTAGAATCATCTTCAGTGCTGGCTTGGTAGTCATGAATTCCTTTAGTTTTTCTTTGTTGTGGAATGTTTTCATTTCTCCTTCAGTTAGGATGATAGTTTTGTTGAATAGACTACTCTAGGTTTACAGTTGCTTTTCTTTCAGGGCCTGTATTAAGTCTTTCCTGACCTTCTTGTGTTTAGTGTTTGTGTTGAGAAATTTGTTGTGATTCTAATGGGTTTGCTTTATATGTGACATGTCTTTTCTCCTTTGCAGTTTTCAGTATTCTTTCTTTGTTCTGTGTACTGAATGTTTTGATTATGATATGTCTGGTGGTGTTTCTTTTTGGTTTTGACAGTTTGATGTTCTGTAGCTTCATGAACCTGGATGACTCTTTTTATCTCAAGATTTGGGAACTTTTCCACTATTATTCTATTGAATAGGTTGTCTGTGCCTTTAGTTTGCTTCTGTTCTTCTTCTTCCACACCCATGATTGTTTTGGTCTTGTCATGTTCCAGATGCCTTGGGTTTTCCATTCATATTAGCATTTTTTTGATCTCTTACCATTTGATCTAATTCCTCTACTTTGTCTATAGTTCCTCATAGTTTATTTTCATCTTGCTCCACTCTGCAAAGTTTCAATAGTGTTTAATTTGGGATATTAAGCTGTTTACTTCAGATTATTTTTCAGGCTTTCCATATCTTTATTGACTTCCTTTTTCATATCCTTCATAATCTTCTTAATTTCGTTCATCTGTTTTTTCCTATTCTCTTTGAGCTCCTTTAATTATTTATTCACATTCTCTTTTCAATCAGACACTAGCTTTTGTGTCCCTTTTTTGAATTTGTTAATCATTTTTACCATTCTGGTTCGGAATTCCGTATTTGTTATGTCTTCCTCTATGCAGTTGTTTACATCCTTAGTGATGGAGTTGGCTTTTGAGGGAGAGCGGTCATCTTGCTCTTTCATTCTTCATTGAGAATTACTCACCTCTCCAGATTAACACTAAATGTAAGTGGCCTCAATGCCAATCCAAAGATACAGAATAGCAAACTTGGTTAAAAAACAAGACCCAGCCATATGATTCTTGCAAGAGATTATCTCATTAACAAAAATCAATACAGGCTTAGAGTCAAAGGCTAGAAAACAGGTCCAAGCAAATTGACCCCATAAATAGGCAGAGTAGCTATACTCATATCCAACAAAGCAGACCCAAAACTAAAATTCCCAGAAGTGGTAGGAAATACACTGGAACATATACAGGGAAGAACCTAAGTAGAGCTCAAAAGGCTCAACATCTAAGAGAAAGAATGAACAAGTGATAATGCATCAAAGCAAAGAGCTTCTGCGCAGAAAAGAAATAGTCACTAGACTCAAGGGACAGCAGAGAGAAAGGGAGAAAATCTTTGCCAGCTACTCTTCCGATAAGGGACTGTATTCCAGAACCTATAAGGACCTCAATAAACTCAAACCCCTAAGGAATCAACATCCCAATGAAGAAACAGGCACATGAATTAAAAAGGGAATTCTCAAAGGAAGAGGTACAAATGGCCAGTAAATACATGAAGAAATGTTCAGCTTCTTCTCTTTTAACACATACAAATCAAAACAGTCTTTAGATTTCATATGCCCCACTTAGCATGGACATATTTAAGGGCAATAGCAACAACAAATGCTGGTGATGATACAGCAAAACAGAAGCCTTATACACTGTTGGTGGCAATGTAAATTAGTACTACCACTATGGAAATTGGCATGGAGATTCTTCAAAAGGCTAAAGAGAACTGCCATATGATCCAGTGATATTAGTCCTAGAAATCTACCCAAAGGAATATAGTCAGGATCCAACAGAGACACCTGGACACCAATGTTCCTTATAGAACTATTCATAATAGCCAAGCTATGGAAAACAAGATGTCCTACACCAAAAGCCTTATTGCTCTAGTCACACCTGCTCTTCATTTGCTTTGGATATTTTTGAAATGGATATTATTTCAACTATACTTCTATGAGTTTAATATATTCACTGTAATCACAAACACAAGCAGTAAAAAAAAAAAAACTAAAAGGAGTACAGAAAGGAATGAAAAAGGGAATCAAAATGGCACAGTACAAAAACTCAACTGAAAGGGCTGTGATGTTTCTCAGTGGTAGAGTCCTTGCCTAGTTTGCATGAGGTCCTAGGGTAAAATCCCCAGGCCTGAAAATGGTGTGACAGGAATAGAAAGAAACAAGCATATAAGACAAACAGAAGCCAGACACTGGTGGGTCATATCTGATATCTTAGCAATTGGGAGGCTGAGATAGGGAGGACCCTAGTTTGGGGCCAGACAAGACAAATACTTCCAATATTCCAAATACTCCAAAATAACCAGAGCCAAATGGAGAGGTGATGAGGCTGAAGCAGTACAGCACCTGCTTTGCAAACACAGAGACCTGAGTTCAAACCCCAGTCTCAGAAGGAAAAAAAAAAAAAGATATAGTGAGTAAATGGCAGGAGTTAGGCATTCCCTCTCAGAAGTTTCTATAAATGTAAATGTGTTAAACTGTCCAGTTAAAAGGCAGCGACTGGCAGAATGGGTTTGAAAACCATGAGCTACTTCTGAGAGACTCACTTTGACTACCAAGACTCACAAAGATAGGAAGACAGAAAAAAACTGTTCCTTTAAATCAGTATATTTCAATAATGAGAATATTATCAAGCAAGGTAGACTTTACATGAAAAAGGTCAGTACATATTGCTAGAAGTTGCAATTCACTGAGACAACTTTATCATAATATCCCCAAATACATGAATATCCCCAAAATATAGGAAGCAAAATCAGATGTAAAAAAGACTTTAATGTATCATATCCTAGATCCATGCTGAAACAGAGAACTTGACTAAAACTATAAACACTGAAGGCTATCCAGAGCACTAAAATCAACACAAGCAGAATACACATTCTTTTCAAGTGCCCATAGAACATTCCCCAGGACAGATCACATGTTAGGCAACAAGTCTCAATACATGTAAAAAGATTGAAATCACATGGGATATTTTTCCAACTATAGTGGAAAAAAACCAGAAATCAACTGCAGAAGGCAAACTGGAAATTTGCATATAATAATAACATGTGAAAATAAGGAACACACTCTTAAACAACCAGAGGGTCAAAAAAGGTCACAAAGAAGATACATAAGGACAATGAAAACAAAAAACAATGAATCAAAATTTACTCACACAATGAAATCAAAAGCACTGCTCAGAGGCAAATTTGTACCTCTCCACACCTATTTCAAATAAGAATGATCTCAATCTCACCAAAAATGAAATCTAAACCCAAACCTGGCAGAAGGATACAACAAAAATTATGGCCAATAATGATGCAGGGAACAGAAAAGTAAGAGCAAAGTCAGTAAAAACAAATACTTGCTCTTTGACAAGTAGAAGAAAAGTAGAGGAGTCAAGTAATAAAGTTTGAAACTGAAGTTGGAACAGTACTGCCAACGTTGCAGAAGAATTATGAGTACTATACAGCACTGCATGCCAGACCACACAATTCAGTGCTATTAATCCATAAGCAGGCATGGAGCACTGACAGGTGTGACAACACAGACAAATGTCCTGGATTATGATTCTACTTGTAAGAAACAGAATCCATGGATACACAGTAGCCATTATTACTAGGAGCTGATAGAGAGGGAAATGGGGAGTTAGCTTTTCATGGAAACAGTTTCTATTTGGGAGATGAAAGAATCAGAGGTGCTTCTTTGGGTGTTGAAAAACTGCTCCTGGTTGTCAAACATTCTGGAAATTCTAATGGTTTAAACCTGTAAAAATATCTCTTAGCCCTTTATTTTATTTCCAAAATACTCTGCCAGAGGCTGGGCACTGGTGACTCTTAGCTACTCACCTGGCTTATTAGTTGAGATGGGGTCTTGATAACTCTCTGCCCAGGATAGCATTGAAACACAATCCTCCACCCTCTACCTCCCAAATAAATGGGATTATAGTCCTAAGGCACTGTGCCCTGGCCCCCCACATTTCTTTCATTCTCCCAAATTCTGACTTGTAGATGAAAGAGGTAACAGGTTTACCTCCGCGTGAATTTTCTGATAAACATGAACTGGGTCTCTCAGGAACATTTCCCATATTTTTAAGGTGAGTAAGCAACAGGGTTTTGGGTGCTGAAATGCACAGAACACACATAAAATGGCTGAACAGAGTAGAGTTTATTTCTCACATGTAACAAATGGAGGGTGCTTCAACAGTGGTGAAAAGTCCTCTGTTCTCTTCATTTCTGTCTGAAATCACAATGACTGAAGACGTAGCACTCCACTCCACCTTGTCTTTACCTCCACAGAAAGCTGTGAACTGTTGGCCACAGAAAGAGGAGGCAGAGAAGAGCTTGCTGTATCGCAGAGAAAACAGCTTTTTGCAGGACACATAGCTAGTCTCTGCCATTCAAGATTGTCCTACTGTGAGAATTCTCTAATGTTTCCTGAGGTTTGATTTCTGAGAAAGCTCTTCCACTTTCAAAGGCTCCTCTCTTGTGAGTGGTCTCATGATTGCTGAGGCGTGACTTCTGGGTAAAGGTTTTTCCACACTGATTGCACTGACAGGGCTTCTCCCCAGTGTGAATAATCTCATGCTCAGTGAGATGTGATTTCTAGGTAAAGGTTTTTCCACACTCATTGCATTGATAGGGCATTTCCCCAGTGTGAATTATCTCATGTCCATTGAGGATTGACTTCAGGTGAAAGGCTTTTCCACACCGACTACCCTCACAGGGTTTCTCCCTAGTGTGAACCCTCTTATGCCCAGTGAGTTTTAACTTTGAGACAAAGGTTTTAAGATACTGACAACACTTATATGGCTTCTCCCCAATGTGAATTTTCTCATGTGTGGTGAGGCTTGACTTCCCCAAACAGGTTTTACCACACTGACTGCACTTGTATGGGTTCTCCCTAGTGTGACTTATCTCATGCACAGTGAGTCTTGACTTCTGGCCAAAGGTTTTTCCACACTGATTACACTGATAGGGCTTCTCCCCAGTGTGAATTATCTCATGCTTAGTGAGGTTTGATTTCCGGCCAAAGGTTTTTCCACACTGATTACACTGATAGGGCTTTTCCCCAGTGTGAATTATCTCATGTACATGAAGGATATACTTCAAGTGAAAGGATTTTCCACACTGACTACACTGATAGGGCTTCTCTCCACTGTGAATAATCTTATGCCTAGTGAGTTGTGACTTTGAGACAAAGGTTTTATGACACTGACTACAATTATAGGGCTTCTCTCCAGTGTGAATCATCTCATGCTTAGTGAGGTTTGATTTCCGGCTAAAGGTTTTTCCACACTGATTACATTGATAGGGCCTTTTCCCAGTGTGAATTCTCTCATGTCCAATGAGGATTGACTTCAGGTGAAAAGACTTTCCACATTGACTACACTGATAGGGCTTCTCCCCGGTATGACTCATCTCATGCCTAGTGAGTTGTAACTTTGAGACAAAGGTTTTATGACAGTGACTGCACTTATAGGGCTTCTCTCCAGTGTGAATCATCTCATGTGTGATGAGGTAGGACTTCCTGGCAAAGGTTTTACCACACTGACTGCACGTGTATGGGTTCTCCCCAGTGTGACTCATCTCATGACTGGTGAGTCTTGACTTTTGGCGAAAGGTTTTTCCACATTGATTACACTGATAGGGCTTCTTCACAGTGTGAATTATCTGATGCTGGGTGAGGTGTGACTCCTTTACAAAGCATTTTCCAGACTGATTACACTGATAGGGTTTCTCACCAACATATATCCCATCAGGCTTACTAGGGCAATGCCTGTTCTCGCATACATTCAACTGCTTGGGCTTCACTCCTAAAGACCCTGCATTCTTTACAATCAGATTTGAAATATGGCTGGAAGTCAAATGAACAGCATGTCTTAATATAACTCTCTCCATAGGTGGTGTGTTGTTCATAGTGATTCCAGCTTGCAACAAATGTCTGTCTTGACTTTCCTCACTGGTCTCAATTATGACATCTCCCTTCTGGACATCTGAAGTGAGAAAAAAGAAAGTAACCATCTACATGAAACACAACTAACCGTTTCTATGCAACGTGCATGTGCATACAAAGGAGGTTCTTCCCATCCTACTGGCATAAGATTTCATAAAAACCACAAAAGGTATTGGCTTGTATAGTTGTCTTCCTACAGACTTCAAATAATAAATGACAGTGATAGATTTTATATTGTTGAACTGTTTTTCCTTGCTTCTTTCATTTAATTTGCCTGAGGTAGTACTGGCTAAAATATTCACCTGCAGCCAAGGCATCATTTTCCATGGAATGTTTCTGCCCTGCCATTTCTTTCCCCCATTGTTTTGACAATGCTGGGGTTTCCTGCTGCTGTTCTTCTCATTATTCTACTCTTATGGGTACAAGAATATTCAGGACCAGCAACTTGCATGATACAAGTGAAGTCTGACTGAATGCCACAAGAGCAGGAACATGACATTGGTACAGCATTTGTTTCTATATTTGTTTAGCTTTCATTCTCACATGGGGAATAACTATATGTATCTATGGAGTTTTTCAAAAATAAAATGTCTTCTTTCCCATTCCTACAAAGTTCTAATTTACCCTCACTAATTGTTTCACAGAAATATAAGTTTTTTCTTCATCCCACCATGCTTGACACCCACCTATGAAGCCCATCATGTTTATACAGTGCTTTTCAGGCTCCTTCTAAGACCAAAAGTCCCGGTATCTACCCCCTATTCCTGGTATAGACACTCATGCTTGACAATCAGCTTCTCCTGAATGATGTTACCTTGTGCACTAGACTGTCAACTCTCTCCTATTTTCATACAAAATGGAGTCTTCTCAACATTTCTCCTCTTCTTTCTTGTTTATATTGATACCCATTAAGAGAAGATGGAAGTGTTAATGTCAAATTGCACCCCCAAACAGAGATATGAGTGTCTCAACATGAAACCCTTGGTTCACTCAAGCTCAGGACCAAGAACGTCCTGGTTTTTCCACAAATGCAGACCCAGATGCTGGATCCTCCCCCTTCATGGTGTCTGACTTCATGGTTCACAAGGGTAAGTCTGGACTTTTCTCATTTTCTTATCCACTACCTATGTGAACTACTCTGTAACAACTTCAAGCTACCAATTTCCAGATTTGTGGTTCCAAGAGTGATATAGACTCTCTAATGTAGATCTTCACATTCACCTATTATGTGTAAAATTTTGAAGAGAGGTCAAGATGAACATTTCATAATTCCACTACAAATGTACCCTAGTGGTATAATACTTGACCAGCACCTTCGAGGCCCTGGATGCAATCCCCAGGACAACAAATTCAAACAAACAAACTCCACCTAAGACTGTCTTTTCTGACCATCCTTCTTAAATGGTGACATATCAAGATTCGTTTTCTGACACTGATGAAATAGTGCTCATGGTTCTTATTTGACTACTTAAAAGACATCACTTTCTTGTCTTTCTCTCAGCACACTATATATTCGATGAAAGAGACATTATTTCCATAATTTCTTACATCATTATAACTATAAAATTCCCAATGCTTAAAATTCCCATGCTTCAGTATGATGTGATGAAGCATAAATAATTTATGAAAAATGTCAGACAATACTAGTCCATGAGACACCGGGCATGGGTGCAGGCACCTGTAATCCAATCCCTAAGGAGGCAGAAGCAGGATCATCCAGACTACGAGGAAAGCCAGAGTCCATATCAGTAGTTTGTGTCAAAAAAATTTTAAGCCAGGTGCCAGAGCCTCATGTCTCCAAATCTAGATCCTCAGGAGGCTGAGAACAGAAATCCTGGTTAAAAGACAGCCCCAGGCAAATAGATCATAGAACCCCACCTCGAAAATAACCACAGCCAAATGGACTGGAGTTGTGGCTTAGCTGATAGAGCATCTGCTCTGCAAGGGCCTGCCTGCTTTGGGAGCTCAAAACCCTGATTTCAACCCCAGTCCCACAAAAATTAATTTATATACAAATGAAATTATTTGAAAAAAATCTATGAGAATGGAGGGTGAGCTAGCTCAGAAGACTGAAGAAGTAAATACCAAAGAAAAATATCTAAGATATTTTTCTAAGATAAAATAAATCTAGAGTTTAGATTTGGGATAAAGTTAAAAAATATTAGTGAGAGAGCCCTCCTTGGGGAACGTAATGCACAGGTTTGATGTGTACAAGCACACCATCCTCAGGTCTGCAATCTGGAAGATAACCTGGTGACATCAGTGCAATATGGCCCACATCTGCTGGACTCCCCTCTAATGCCCTCCTCAATCAGGATGCACTGACGTACCTGGTGGGCTCTGGCTTGGGGGTTCTTTTCTCATCCATGGCTCTGCTCCTTGCTCCAGTTTGAAGATCAGCTCAGGTTTGGTGATGCATTGCCCTGTTCATGCCAAACAAGGTAGGATTTTGCCAAACAATTAAGTCAGGTATTTCCCCCCACTATCCATTTCTGCAATGATGGACATGTTCTGTACCTAGGTTACCAGCAAGGGAGCTGCTAGCCACAGCAACCACTTTCAAACACTCAAAATAGGACGAGTCTCACTGAGGAGCTACATTTAAATTTTGATTAAATTTATTTTTTTCTTTTATTGATGTATTAGCATATTATAGTTCTACCTAGGGTACATTGTGACATTTATAAAGTAGTTATAATAAACTTTCCCTCCTCCCCATTCTTAGAACAGTTTCAATAGGTCTCTTTGTCCCATTTTCTTACTTGAATACATAATACTTCCACCATATTCACTCCCTTCACCTTTTCCTTATGCCATACCAAACCCAGGACTTCTTTTACCTTTCTTTTCTTCATTTTGAAAAACACTTTTTTTGTTTATGATGGTTATATAGGGAGTTTCACTGTGAAATTTCCTTATTTACATATATGTATTTATACCCTGAATTGGTTTATCACCTCCATTTTAAATCAGCTTCTTTGAAGCAAGAAAAACCCTAGCTTTGGCACTATCCAATTTAGGGGAACACGTGAACTTTTCATGAGAGAGGGTGAACAATTGAGTTCTTCATGGGCTGGAGCTGTGCATCTAAATAGTTTTCATATATTTACTAAGAAGACAGTGCTTGCTCCTGATGGCTACAGGGCATTTCACTCACCCAAGGACACCAGGCTGCTATAGGTCTCCAGCATCACCTCCCTGTACAGAGTCCTCTGAGCATTGTCCAGATTTTGCCATTCCTTCCAGGTAAAGTCCACAGCCACATCTTCAAATGACACTGATTCCTGGAATGCCATATTTCTTCTCAGTTCACCAGCACTTGGAAAATGGAAATTCTGCTTCTATATGTGGGGGCTGGGAGAAGGGGGATTCTTATATGAATTTTGCAAAAAATGCCACTTGTTTTACACTCTGGTAAAGGAAAGTCACAGGAATATACTACCAGTGTAATAGTTTATTAAGTACAAAATAGTATTAAAAATATTGCAACGAAGTTGACCTCACAAACCTAAAAACATACTTACACCAAGGGAATAAAGTATGAGTAAAAACAGGCCTGGTGGTACATGGCTGTAATTCCAGCACTGAAGAGGATGAGATAGTAGTATTGTGAGTTCAATCCCAACCTGGGCTACACAGCAAGTTCCACTCTATGTACAAAATAAAATAAAATAAAATTTTGCTCCTTCAAGGAGCTTATGATCTGGCTTAAAAAGCCATTAAATATGAATCAAAATTTACAATCTGTTAGTGGAATTAATTTACAGTTTCAATGTAAATGAGGCAAGGAAGGAGAACACACACTTCTATTTTGCATGATGAATCTGCACTTCACTGTAAAGCATAGGATTCTTTTCGAATGACTAATAAACTAAAAATATGCACACAGACATCACAATATTTCCTTCCTACCTCCAAAAGATTGCTGGTGTTCACTCCAGGCATCTCTGCCATTTACCAATAAAATGGCAAATGGTAAAATGAGAGGTCAGGTGAGAATAGGTGAGCAAACTGAGCAGATCTACATTCCAACGGTCTTCCCTGGGAGGAGAACTGGAAAGGCATAATGGAGAGGTAAAGAATAAGAAACCAGAGTGAGACATGGGATCACAAAGAAGTAAGACTGCAGAACGGAGAATTAATCTTAAAAAGTGGAAAAAAGAAAAGGACAGGAACAGAATTTGGTATTTGTTGAATGAAAATATAAAGCTATTTTACTTCCTGATGATCTACATGATTGTCAAAATTAAATACTGGCACCATGACGTGAAATGTGGAAAATGGAAGAAAAATACTACATCAGGCCTGCTGCTGCTGATTCATGCCCGTAACCCTAGTTACTCTGTAGGCAGGGTACTAATTACTCTGGCGTTTGAAGCCACCCCAGACAAAGAGTTCATGAGACATTATCTCAAAAATACCCAGCAGACAAACACACAAGAAAAGAACAAGAAAGAAAAAAAAAAAAAAGAAAGAAAATAAAATACTCAATGTTAAAAAAACGTCTGGCTGAGTACCAAAATGGTAGAGCATCCACCTAGGAAGTACTAGGCTCTGAGCTCAAACACCAGCACCACCTTAAAAAAAAAAGAGTACAACAAAGTGACACAGAGTTGAACATACTGCATTTGGAATGTCTGATACCACATTTATAGGACAGCAAACTACCAATTACAGACATGATTCCAAATTTCAGAAGAGAAATACAAGCTGAAGATGAAAAATTTTGGAAAGTAACAGAATTTTATTGCTGCCTAAAGTTATCACAGTGAATGAAATGGACTGTATTCAGAGAAGGAAAGTAACAATAAAAGAGTAAAAGGAAACTAATATTTCCTGATACAGAACAAGAAATAGACTACAAATACCAAGAAAGAATTTTTTGAGTTTGTCCCCAGTATAAAGAAAATCTCAATATTAAGAACTCTGAGGCTTTCATGATGGTACACACTTATAATCCCAAGAATCAGGGCGCCGAAGCAGAAGGATCATGAATTTGAGGCCAGCATGAGCTGCACAGAGAGACCCTGTCTCAGAAACAAAAAGGGAAAAAGGAGCTCCATTACCACAATTTAGCATATTCATATTCTATGGAGACAAATTCTTTCAATGGCTCACATAGACATAGAGAAAGTTCCTTTTAAAATTCGACCCTGGACAAGGCATGGTGGTATACACCTGTACTCTAAGCACTGAGGAAGTGAAGTTTGGAGAATCAAGAGTTTGAGGCCAGTCTGAGCTACAAGGAACACAAAAGGCCAGTATGAGGTAAAGAGGGATCATGCCTAAAAAACATAAATAAATGAAAATACAAGGACCATGCTGGTATCTGTTGAGGTTTAGTTAGGGTATGTAATGTCCTACAGGACCACGTATAAAATACTAGGACCCAGTCCACGGTGGGATGGGCAGGTGGTGGAATCTCCAAGAGGTCATAATAGAAGGTGTGTCGTGGAGTGGATATGGAGATCTATCCAATTCTTGTCTCTCTTTTGCTTCCTGGCTATGGGGTAAGCAGCTTCCTCTGCCATGAGCTCCTGTCATTATGTACTTTGGGCCTTGCACAGGCCCAAAGGCAATGGAGCCAAGTGATGATGCTCTGAAGACTCCAAATGCAAAAGACAATATAAATTTTTCCTCTTTTAAGTTGATCGTCTCAGGTATTTTGTAATAATGATAGAATGCTGATAAACACAGTAAAGTGTTACTCAATCTAAAAATCAAATACAGCCTTGAAGAAACTGAAAACATAACAACTCTTCCTGTATCCAAAAGGGCATGGAGGAGACAGAGTGCATTGAAGTCAGTCTGTGTCATTCTATTGTAGTAGCCTTAATAGAATAAAACAGCTGGCCCTCCCCTACACCTTACCATAATACTAAATTTATTATTTCTAAGAGTTCCTTTTACTTGCTGTGTCATGTTAGTCTATGAAGAAAATATTTCAAGGCATGTAAAAAACAAAAAACGCAATGTGAAGTGGCAGAGGAAGCATCAGAACCAGACATAGCCTTATCACAAAGCAAACTTTCTTTAAAACTCTGATTAAGACATTAAGGAAGCTAATGGATAGACTATAGACAGCATGCCAGGACAGGTGGGCAAAACAAACTCCAACAGTGTATTGGGTACAAGAAGTTCACTTAAGTACAAACACATATGCCTGGCTCACACATATTATCCTAGCTACTCAGAAGGCAGAGATCAGGAGGATCAAGTTTCAAGGCCAACCTGGCCAAATAGTTCTACAGACACTGTCTTGAAAATATTCAACACAAAACAAGGCTGGCAGACTGGCTCAAGTGATAGAGCACCTGCCTAGCAAGCATGAGGCCCGGAGTTCAAACCATAGTACACCAATAAATACATTAATAAAAACACATATGAATTAAATGTAAATGGATAGAGACAGGGTGAATGTGAACAGGGTACACTACATGCATATATGTGTATGGAAATGTCACAATGAAACACCTTTGTGACATTAATATACACTGAGTAAATGTTAATTTAAAGAATAAATGAAGAATATATGTCATGCTAACACCAATCAAAAGAAATCAGGGGCTCACAATGTAGCTGAGTTGTAGAGCAGGAGCATGGAAGGTGACCAAGAAAAGGGGCATTTGGTAATAACACAGTGATGAACACAGCACATTCTGAACCTATGCACTAGAAGTGCAAGAGAAAGATGAACCCAAAACCACAACTGGAGACTTCAACAATCCATTCTTAAAAAATGGACAGACCCACCAGTCATATGATGGGTAATGACACAGTTCAACTCAACAACAGGTTTGTTACAGTGCATGTAATTGGCATCAATAGATCACTGCTTCCAGCAACAGATTACACGTTCTTCCCAAGTGCACATGGACAACCACTAACACAGGCCACCTTCTCAGCCATAAAACACACCTGAACAGATATAAAACACTAGAAAGCACACAAAATCTGCTTTCAGACCAGAGTGGCAAAAATAACAAAAAGAAAACTGAAAAACTCCAAATATATGGAGATTAAACAACATACTTTCAGATAGTAAAAAACAGAAATCTCCAGAGAAATTTTTAATTTTGAACAAAATGAAAATGAAAGCACATTTTATGAAAATCTGTAGGATGCTGCAAAAACAGTGCTTAGAGGACAATTGGTAGCAGTAATGTGTATAACAGACAAAAACAAGCATTTAGAATCTATAATCAAAGTTCCTACCTTAGGAAAATATCAGAGAAAGTAAAAATTAAAACCAGCAAAAGGAGAAAAAACAATAAGAATTACAACTGGAATTAGTGCTATTTAAAAAGAAACTCAACAAAGAAAATCAGTAATGGAAAACAAGGGTTCCTTTTTTTTTTTTCCTTTTTCTTTTATTATTCATATGTGCATACAAGGCTTGGTTCATTTCTCCCCCCTGCCCCCACCCCCTCCCTTACCACCCACTCCGCCCCCTCCCTCTCCCCCCCCTCAATACCCAGCAGAAACTATTTTGCCCTTATTTCTAATTTTGTTGTAGAGAGAGTATAAGCAATAATAGGAAGGAACAAGGGTTTTTGCTGGTTGAGATAAGGATAGCTATACAGGGAGTTGACTCACATTGATTTCCTGTGCGTGGGTGTTACCTTCTAGGTTAATTCTTTTTGATCTAACCTTTTCTCTAGTACCTGTTCCCCTTTTCCTATTGGCCTCAGTTGCTTTTAAGGTATCTGCTTTAGTTTCTCTGCGTTAAGGGCAACAAATGCTAGGTAATTTTTTAGGTGTCTTACCTATCCTCACCCCTTCCTTGTGTGCTCTCGCTTTTATCATGTGCTCATAGTCCAATCCCCTTGTTGTGTTTGCTCTTGATCTAATGTCCACATATGAGGGAGAACAAGGGTTCCTTAAAACAATAAAAAAAAACAAAGGCAGGGCACCAGAGGCTCACTCCTGTAATCCTAGCTACTTAGGAGGCAGAGATTAGGAGGACTATGATTCAAAGCCAGTCCAGGCAAATAGTTCTCAAGACCCTATATCAAAAAATCATTGACAAAAATAGGGCTCCTGGAGTGGCTCAAGGTGAAGGCTCTGAGTTCAAGTCCCAGCACTGCAGAAGGAAGGAAGGAAGGAAATAAAGAACATGAAACAATTTGGGTTGTAATAAATACATGCATGGAAATGTCATAAGGATACTCCCTCTGTACATAGCTAAAACAAAAATGACTTTTTTTCCATTTACGAAATCAGAGAACTAAAGGGAGAACGGGTCCTGCCTAGGGGTATTGGTACCAGTGAGAGGGGGAGGAGATGTGGAAAGGATGTAGGAGGGTGAATATAGTATAAATTCTGAGTGCATATGTATTTAAAAGGAAAAATGA